GCAGCAGTGGCGACACCAGCCTCACGGAGCCTGCAAGCATCAAGCAAGCACTCAAGAGCCAGCAACGCAAGCAGTGGACTCAGGCATGCTTGGAGGAGATCGGGGCGATGGAGCGCAACGGCGTCATCAAGCTCATCCCACGCAGCGCCGTGCCACGGCAACACACGCCCCTCAAGTCACGCTTCGTCTTCAAGGTGAAGCGTGATGCGGAAGGCACGCTGACGCGCTTCAAGGCACGCTGGGTCGCCAAGGGCTTCAGCCAGCGACCGGGCATCGACTTCGACCAGACCTACGCCCCAACACCAGCAGCCAAGACCATCCTCACCGTGCTCGCCGTCTCCCTGCAACGACAGCACCAGCTGCACCAGCTCGACTTCAAGTCGGCTTACCTGCAGGCTGATCTCAAGGAGGAGCTGTACATGGAGCTGCCGCCGCACTTCACCGACATCGGCGACGGCGCTCAACGCTACGCGGGCAAGGTGTGCCGGCTGCTCAAGCCGCTCTACGGTCTCAAGCAAGCTGGCCGTGCATGGGCCAAGAAGCTGCACACCTTCCTCAAGACCAACGGATGGGCGCAGAGCCACGTCGACGCATGCCTCTTCACCAAGCTCCACGACGACGGACAGCGCACATGGATCATCACGTACGTCGACGACCTCATCATCAGCGGCAGCAGCGAGCGCCACATCCGTGCCTGCAAGCAGCAGATCAAGGAGAGCTTCGAGGCAGAGGACCTGGGCCCGCTCACCTGGTACCTGGGCCTTCACCTGACGTCACCAGCTGACGGCGTGTTGCACATTGCGCAGACACAGGCCATCAACGACATCGTCAACGACTACAACCTGGCAGCGGCAGCCAGCGTGTCCACGCCCATGCGTGTTGGCATCGACGCCTCCAGCATCAGCGAGCAGCCCGACCGACGCCTGCCTTTCCGCAACCTCGTGGGCTCGCTCCTGTACCTGGCCAACCGCACAAGACCAGACGTCAGCTTCGCGTGCGGACTGCTCTGCCGTTACATGGACCGTTACACGACGGTCCACTGGCAGGCAGCCAAGCACGTCGTGCGGTACCTGAAGGCGACGAGCGAGCACGGCCTCCTCTTCAAGCGACGCAGCGGCACGCGCAAGGACCAGCCGCTGGACCTGGTGTGCTACAGCGATGCCAGCTTCGGCACAGACCAGCTGACGGGCCGCTCCACGACGGGCTTCACCTGCTACATCAACGGCTGTCTTGTGTCTTGGAGTAGCCGGCTGCAACCCACGGTTGCGCTGAGCACCGCTGAGGCCGAGTACATGGCCATCTCCGCTGCAGCGCAGGACGTCGTCTTCCTGCGGCAGCTGCTCATGGACCTCGGCGAGCCCGAGGCTGGAGCCACCAAGATGCTGACAGATAACCAGGCGGCCATCGCCATCGGCAACGACCACGTCACCAAGCCGCGCACGAAGCACATCCGGGTACGCCACCACTTCGTGCGGGAGCTCATCGCCGACGGAACCATTGTGCTGCAGCACTGTCCCGGCACGCGGATGGTTGCCGACGCGCTGACCAAGGCACTGGACAAGCAGACCTTCGAGCAGCACCTGCCACGACTGGTGGGAACCTCGACGGCTGAGACGGAGCAGAGGAAGGCAGTTGAGGGGGAGTGTTGAGAGTCAGTGAGTTTCTGTTTTGTGTTGAGTCCTTCCTAATTTGCCTTCTCGTGTGGTTTTGTCTTGTTTGCCAACAACACCTGCTTTGTGGTTTTTCCGTTGGCAAACATTCCTTCCTCTCTGCTGGCATGCATGTGTGCCAACTGCCTCTCCTCTCCTCCTCTTTCCCCTGCACACGTGAGTTGTGTGCCATGTGTGTGTGTGTGTGTGCATGCCCGTCATGCTTGGCAAATGCTATGCCTGCGTGCCATGTAGTGTTGTGAAGTGTTGTCTGTTGTGCATGCTTGCCTGCAAGCATTCATGCCATGCCTAGCATTGCTCTGCGCGCGCATGTATGCATGCTGCTCATTGTTTAGATTGTTTGTGTTCGTGCACACTCTGCCCATGTCGCCTTGACAGCGTCATTGACTGTGTGTGCACTTGTCTAGTGTTTGTTTGAGCGTGCTGCCCGAGTTGATTTGGCAGCAGCTTGTTGTGCTTGTTCATTCTCCTTGTGTTCTTGTTTGTTGCGTTTGCCTACAGTAAACACACACACCACCTGTCGTGTTTCTACAGAGGAGCAAGTGCAGACATCCACGACATCGTCCATGCTCCAGCTTCCCAGTGCACGTGACAGCAGCAACAGCACCACTGACGGTGAGCCACCAACGGTTCACATCGACGAGGACCAGGACGAGGATGTCGAGACAGACTTCCTGCTCACGGACTTTGACGCCGACAGCAGCAGCGACACCAACGACGCCAACTACGACCCCGACACAACAGATGCAAGCGACACCGAGGCAGGCGCGTTCACAGCAAGCAGCAGTGGCGACACCAGCCTCACGGAGCCTGCAAGCATCAAGCAAGCA